GTAGGGAAAACAGGCTGACACAGTTCCGTCGTCTCTGCTGATATAGTAAACTTACTGATTGCTGATCTGTGGTAACAGCAACTGCAATTTTTTATTTTTGAAATCATGTTTATGAACACCTTCTTGGTTCATACTGTCTTCTCAAATGTGAGTATTTATATGTATTGCTTCTTAGGAAAGATCTGTTTCTGAAAGGGTATTTTTTTTAAAACTTTTTTATTATTTTTTAAAATATTCAGTGTGATTTTTTTGGGGGAAAACCCTCTTCTCCCCCTCTATTCCCAGCACCCCAAACATTTCCTTTTGTATCACTGTACCTGTTGGGTTTCTAGTGAATTTTTGGGTTTGAAAGTATCCTGGAAGGGATTTGCCACCTGTCACAAAGCAACGTACTCTCCCAACACAGCTCTAAAATGTTTGGCTGATCAGTGGACCTCAAGAGTTAAGGATTCAGTAGATAATGATTTCTCTCTGAATCAACACCCCAATGAGATTTTAGGAAGAAGAGGCTGTTATCAGCGAGATATAAAAGGAGCTCTGGGAGCTATTGCAACACTAAATTGTTTTTCAACAAAATGTTTCACTTTCTTAGTTTGGAAAAGCTTTGTTTGAAAAATAAGCTGTGTTTTTTTTAAAAAAAAAAAAAAGGGCAGGTGGGTTTACAGTCAAGTGAAGTATTCTAGGTTTATCTGAAATCATGTTTCTAAAGAAATTTGCAAAAACTGCTCCCTCATCCTGGGGAACCGATTTCTGCTCCCCATCCTGATGTGTGAAAGCTAGTGGCGATTACTTTGGCATAATCTCAGAGTGTGTCCTGTGGAGGAAAAACTGCCTGTCCTGGAGTTCTTGGCTGAAGACCAGCACAGAAAATAGAAGTTTGTCTTCCCAAATCCTGTCTGCAACTCTGCTTGGATAAAGTCTTCTTCCACTCCCTGTACAAACTCTTTTGCTGCTATTTTTATAGCTTCAGAGCTCTACCACTAGCATCCATCTTCAATGATGAGCAAAGTGACCCTTTCAGTCTCATGCCTGATTTGCACTGACTGTTCTGCCATTAGTTAGCTAATGATCTGTCAAATATTTTGTGATATACCTTGTGATCTTCAGTCCACAGTCTGAACAGTCCTCTGTAAGCGTCTAATGTTAGTAGTGATGATACACAGCAAGTTGCCATTGCATTTCCCCATGCATTTCTTTCATTTAAGCATGTTAACTGGTTAAAAACTTCCGTGGCATGCTGAAACTTTTTAAGTTTTTGGCAGTGTTCTTGCAAGCATACAAGCAGACCTTCCTCTTGCAGACTTTATTCCTGCCAGCAGCTCCCGTTCACACCAGCAATCTCATCAGCTGCACGCAAGCTAAATTTTGCAGCATACCATAGACTCAGATCGCACCTGAGCTTCTGCCAAGTATCATGGAGAAACCAGGGAGTGGAAGGGGCTTTTGTGCCAGCACAGCCCTGAGACTTGACCAGGCCTCACCCCTGTGCCTGAGAACAAGCAAGTCCTCCTACATGTGTTTGTTTAACTGCAACTAGGGATGTAATTGGGATTATTCATGTTAGGCCAGCTGGGAGGATTGGAGCTGTGCTGTGCGCGAGATCGTATGCACAAAGCCAATGCAAAGCTCCCACTGATTTTGGAAAAGCCTGGATATAAGATAATATCCTTACTAGTGAGAGCTGGAATGAAAGAGATACAGAGAAACCATTAGAAATCCATGAACAGCGAAGTACCTTGCAGCTTCAGAGTATCTCTCTAAACACCTAAACACAGCAGCTTGGCGCAGGTGGTTCCGGAAATTAGCTGGATTCAGAATAATGCTCCTTTGAACAACAAGAGAGATGGACAAGTTTAGATTTATAGTTCTTAAATCATTAAAAGCTACTAATCATCAAACTGTGACTAAGACACATACTGTATACACTTATTATATATAACTCAACATTGTATGCCTCAAATGTAATAAGAACTATCACTTTCTCGACAGCTGTGATATATGAACAAGCAGTATTACGATTTTTATTGAGGTTATCTCATAAATGCAGTTTCATTAGGGTTTTGTGTATTGTTCTAGAAGAAATTTCCTGTGGCAATGCACTATGTTGCCTTTAGTTTATAGATAATGCAAGAAAAAGTGCTATAGTACAACTCCTTGTTAACCCCTACCTCCACAGACATGAGCGGCAGTTGTCTGACCTGTCTACCTGGAAAAACTCTGCATCTATAATGTCTTTTAGTGTTAGCTTGAAAGATTTAAAAATACTTTCTGTACAAGCAGTAGGTTCTACGTGGGTTGACCTCGGCAGGTTCCTTAGACCCTTAACTTTAACAGATGCCATTCCAGGTGTAGCAAATTACAGGCTTTAAGTCAATATCGGAAAAAGATGGAAGGATAAAAATAGTACAAACTAAGCAGTTAGACTGGCAGCCACAGTATCCTTCTGATGGGAGCAGGGGGAGGGCAACAGTGACAGCTCCTACATCTAATTAGTTCCACTTGTGAGATCTCCAACAAGCGACTGGCTTCTCTGGTCAGCACTTATCCCAGGGTTTGGAGAGAAGGTACATAAAGCATGTTCTAGGATGCAAAGTTTTATAAAACATGCAGGTAATGACAAATATTAAGTATTTGATAGTACTTTACCACAGGAACAAAGAGAGTAATGCTACATTCTACTACAAAGGAGCCTTGCAAACTGTATTTGTTTCCTCATTGATAGTTTTGGATATTGTGATAGCATTAAATACTACTGCTCTTGTTATTTCAGTCTACTAATAACCACAGAACTAGTCCTCTTCATAACCAAACCACTTATTGAAGTTTATTCATTGTCTTGAAACTGACATAAATATACACATAAACACATTCAGTTATAAATTCACATTTATGAAAACACCCAGTGCATTTTAGCAGACCAAAACTGGGTTTTTTTATACATTTTCAGCACTCATGGACTGTATGTCTGGGAAGGAACTTTCAGAATGAGTTAAAATCTAAAAGTGTCTCCAAGATGCAGTAGCCTTGCGAATCAAATTAATTCTGCAGGTACTTTCTCCAAGGCATACAGAAGAAGACGTAAGGCTCTGAATGGCTACATCTATATTTGCACGTAATTAAATGTATAAGAAGTGGATCAGTAGATTGGAGGAGGTAACGTTGAGGCCTCTACATCTATACTGTAGGCAGCTGGGTCTTTTATTTCAGACTAGACTTAGCCTGTTCGCTTAAACAAAGTGTCCCTGTGCATGTTGCTCAAAGCTGTCTTGAAGGTCAGCTTTTGGTTTGGATTCCTATGCCTTCATTAGGTGCTACTTGTATTTTGTGCACAGCTCATGCAGAACATGCAGGTAGCTTTCTCTGGAGTTAATCTAGTTTGTGAGTGCTAAAATTGGTCTGTGAAAATTGAGGACATTGGGTAAAGTGCATCACAATCCTACTATTGCACCAAACCAAAATGGGAAGTTGGGTGTAACCAGAGATGTTTCTGTTCTGGCCCATTAAAGCTTTACTCTGTATGAGCAGAGCTGCTCTATGCTCTGGAGATGCAGCTCCACTGAAGACCATCCTAAGGTGGTATAGGAACTAGGAACCATCTCGGAACCATGCTTTCCCAGTCCAGCATTTGAAAAATGCTCAGAAAACTGTCTTGAGACAAAGCATTACCATGCAGGGACTCTCTCTGGGAAGAAGGTGTGGGGGGAGAACCGGTGACAAATTATATTGTGTAACTTAAGGCATTACTGGAGGAAGTGCAGACCTTAGTGGTTGGAGGAGCACCTAAATACTGAACTAAAATCCAGTGTAGAAAACAGCACTGGGAAGTTAAAGGTTAGTTGCTCTTAACAGGGGAAACGAATCACTCTTATCAGTAACAAAAAGATAATGCCAACAGCAAACACTGCAATTCTCAGCCAAACATGGTTCAGATCTGAAGTTTAGACAGTACTGATGGTCACCAAAACTTTATTTAACCAAAACAAAATCATCAAAAGATCAGCATTTAATGATTTGACCAAAGCAGTAATGCCTTATGTAGATGACAACTGGTACTTCTGCAAGCTGTTTTAAAGGAGATTATTGCTGCTGTAAACTGTAGTCAACAGTTGATAACAGTGATATTGATTTTTTTAATTTTTTTTTCCCTCTCCAAGTTATCAGTTCTACCACAGCCAACCAATAGCACTATGAGGGGGGAAAATTAAAAAATCAATAATTCCCTGGTAGTTAGCAACGTATTTTCTGTAAGCCTTTGAGCAGGATGTGCTGTGACAGGCTTATAATAAATATAGAACTGTAGCAGATTTTCAAAGAATTAGATATCACCTCTCCATTTTCCATCTTGAGTTTTTTACTAGTATCAAAAAGATCAACTGCTTCTCTTGATCTATAAATTCTGTACTGAAAAATATTACAGCATGCCCGAATAGCTTGAGCAAACATTGGAAAGCTACCTTTGACTCTGGCAGTCGGGTTTGATGTTGCTAGGCTCTATGTAGCCTATACACTAGAAGTAATTTCTGCTGTATTGCTACTCTAACCAAAAGTAGCCCTTTGCTGTACAGATGCAGTTCTAGTTTAGTAGCCTTTGTGCAGAGTGGTGCTAATTTAGTGCCAGGAGTGCCCCGAAACTGTGCAGAGCTCTCTCTTTGGCTTTTAAATCTGACTCTGATGTGTTTCAGGTGATTTTGGTGAAAAGGGAAAAAAAAACCTGAATGAAAATAGGGAGCAAAGGCATCATACACACAAAGGTTAAGAGGAAAACCCTATTTCCAGGAAGTTCTCCTTCAGATAAGAACAGATGGGGACCCATCTGGCCAGGCAGAACTGTGCCAGGCTGTGCATACTGAGAACAAGTCCATGCTCCAAGATCCACCTCCAGCCATGAGCAGTCTTGATACTAGGCTGGTTAATCCAGTAATTAATTAGGAGGGACATGTTTCAGGAGGGAGGCCTGAAAGAAGAATTAGGAGGGGAAGGTGGTGGACACACTGGCTGTGACACAGTCGGGACAATCTCTGTATGTGGTGCCTGGTGCCAGGAGCAGAAGCATCGGTCCTTTGGTCTTTTTACTCATGTGCTGATTTGCACAGAGAAAACTTCTAATCCGCAAAACTGCAAATAAAGTCACTACATCTGAAGATTAAAACTTGTGTTCTTGCCAGGTTTTGCCCCTATCTGTCAAATGACTAGGCTAAAGTAAACTTGAAATAGATTTTCATTTATTTTTCATCTTCACTGTAATCCAAAGACTACCCTGTTAAAAGCCTTTCGTAAATCATTTGGTCAGTTTTTCTCAACAAAACAGTCCTTAAGTAATGCTGTATATCAGCCTCTTTTTTGACATTTTCATTTTTTCATCTTGACATCTTCTCTTAAAAATAATACAGTGTTTGTCCTATTATCTTTTTTCACACTGTGAGGAGGGGGGGTAGAAGGCATCAACTCTCTCCCCATCATAACAACTGGAGTATGTGAACCAAAGATGCACACGTTAGTCCGCAGCTTTTCTCTCCAAGTTTTTCTTTCAATCTCAGTCTGCTTTTAAGAAAACAGGTGTGGCGAGTAACTGGGATTGCTGCATCTAAACTGGCTGCTAGAAATCGCATTGCCTTTTCTCCAGGGTGCACATTCTCTATCAAATCCCTTCCCAAATGCAATGGGGATTTAACTCTAATCTGACTGACATGAAAAAGTGCCTTTGCTGCTATCCACCACATCGTTCACGTTTGGCCTTTACAGGCCAAGAAAAAGTCAATGAGATGATACTATAGATGAAACAAGTGAAAAAATACACTTCACCACTAAAGCAGATAAACTCATCTTTCTTGCTAGTACTGTGAGTAAAAGCTAGCTTGTTCATAGAAGTGAGTGTAGTTATTTCTTGAATCAGAGTGGCAGAAACTTTCTCTTGTCCATGCTTTCCTGTGATACAGCGTGGTCTTCTGTACAAAGCTTTTTAATAGTCAATTATAACTGACTATTAGAGAGGAATTAAGTGATTTATCAGAAGTGAAAATTCAGTGCTACAGCAATAGGTGCGCCTCTGCAGGGAGATGTAAAGGCAGCACAGGTCAGTCTGGCAGGGTGCTGTGCTGGCATGTCTGCATGTCACTGGTAGGGAGTGACTGTCCAAATGTAGTCGCAAGGCGTTCTTCACCACAACATTAAATACAATGCCAGCGCAGGTAATGCGTTGACTAGGATTCAGCAGAACCATGTATTCAGTTGCTGTGGACTAATACAATGCTTTTATCTTCAGTGAGTACTGCCACTCAGTACAGCTGATGATCCAGCCCCAATATACTTACAGGTGAACCTGACAAATCCTGTAAAATTACACTGAACCTCAGCTTTCTTCTTTTTCCTTGTTTCGTCTATATGGCAGGTAGCCTGCTATCTGCAGTGTAGTACTAGTCTTACATCTGTTTGAGTCTGCCATGGGTTAGCAGGCATGGTGCTGATGGGTTGATGGTTGGACTTGATGATCTCAGAGGTCTTTTCCAGCCTTTATGATTCTATGCTCTGTTCTGTGATCCCAAGGGCTGGTTTAAGAGTTCAGCTCTACTAGAGGAAGTCAGATTCCTGAAACTCACATTCCTGAAACTCACATTCCTGAACCCTGTGGTAGCCAGGAATCAACCTCCGCCCATTTTCCTGCAATTTGCATTTGCAGCTATGCCATGATTTTAGGAAAGTTTTGTTTGAGGGCCTCATGGCTGTACGTTTGCTTGCAGCCAACTTTGTATTCTAAACCACTTCTCCTCCTGGCGCTGTTGTAGGGAACTGAGAGGGATGTGCCTTGGATACACAAAAGCTTGCGGG